AAGTACAGTGCACAATCAATTACCATACAATCCTTAATTTCTCTCAGGTTAAAATTTTTGTGATTTTCCTTTGAAAGGAAAAAATTATATTTTAACAAATTAAAACTTGGTGATGTGTAAAAAGACATCTTGTACACAAGCGTCATTATTTCATGGATTAAATTTTCGCGATCACATAAATGTACTTTGAGATGGTGAAAATATCATCCCCACAATAATAACCAGCTGTACAGTATCTGTTACATCAGCTTTTGACATCTTTTCCTTTCTTTGGAGGAACATGTAGCCACAACATACTATCAATTTCATTATGTATTTTTTGATGTATTACAAAGTTCATGCAATTAAGTGAATAACAATGTGTAAATAAAGGAAAACTATTTACATGTTTATCTGATTGGATCTCTACTTCACTACAACAAGAAAGTTTCACAACAAAATACATACACCTCATCTAAGCTTGGTTGGCTAATTACTTCTTTAGAGGCCTGTATCAAGTTCACCTGTATATAAACTTGTAACATGAACTACAAAAAGGTTGAACACCTCTCCAATTTATGATTAATTATAACGACCATCTCTAATTTCTAAAATTAACTTAAAAAATGACATTAAATTTTTTTGTCAGGGCATTATACATCAAATTTGGTTCTGTAATGATTATTTGAAATACCTCAGCATTAATCAAATGAAAATACTCTTATCAGAAATCAAACACTTATGATGTCTCAACTGGTGGACAATAAAGGGAGCTAACTTTTTGTCTGGTGTATGTTGAGGAGTAAAAAGGTTGCCATGGCAGCCATTAATATTCGTGAATAAAAAAAATTTACAGATTTTTTTAATCAGGATCTTATCATTGAAATAACTTTTTCATTTTTGTGAAATATAATATTCGATGATGCAGAGAAAATGTTTTGAAATAAGTAGTGTTTTAATCATCCTTTCCTGACATTTGAGCTCCAACATTTAGGAGATTTAAAGTACTGACCATGTGTCCTAGATATTCTAAATCATCTTATATTTTCACATACTCATCTGAGAAATATTCACCAGGCTTCAATCTTTATCTGAGATTTCAATACAAATGCTAAGTGTGAACACATCTTTAAACACATCTGAGACTGCAGGACTTGTGGTTGGAGATTTATACTTATTTGTCTGACTTTTAGCAATTATGCTCTTCAAAATTTGTATTGTACATGCAGAAAGTCTGTCGGAGATTTCAACACTTCCTTAAAGCTCATCCCTGCCATTTTCTTGGAATTTGTCTCCTGTCTCACCTTTGGATTTTTCTGGGGAAAAAAGAAACCAAACTGACATAAAAGTGTCATTTATGTTGTGCACATTCACATAAAGAAGTTAGTGGTAGCAAGCTGTAGAATATATACCTACACTACATGTACAAAGCTGTGTCCTGATGATAGCCGATCCAGAGGGCTAAAACATACATGGCAAGGTGGCAGAATATATTGCTAAGGAAACGTTGATACCCTTTCATATCAACTTACTAGATCAACAACTATATGTATATTTTAGTTCCAGTTTTTTTAATCAGTTCAGGGATGAAGGAAATTTCCATGATTAGTTCCAGTTTTTTAAATTTTTTGAGAGTTTTAGTTCGTTTTTTTTATTTTTCCATGAGTTTTAGTTCCAGATTTTCATTTTTTCCATGAGTTTTAGTTCCAGTTTTTTATTTTATTTTTCCATGAGTTTTAGTTCCAGTTTTTTTATTTTTTCCATGAGTTTTAGTTCCAGTTTTTTTTATTTTTCCATGAGTTTTAGTTCCAGTTTTTTTTATTTTTCCATGAGTTTTAGTTCCAGTTTTTTTTATTTTTTCCATGAGTTTTAGTTCCAGATTTTTAAAATTTTTTCCATGAGTTTTAGTTCCAGTTCTTTATTTTATTTTTCCATGAGTTTTAGTTCCAGATTTTAAAATTTTTTCCATGAGTTTTAGTTCCAGTTTTTTATTTTATTTTTCCATGAGTTTTAGTTCCAGTTTTTTTTATTTTTTCCATGAGTTTTAGTTCCAGTTTTAGTTCCAGTTTTTTTTTTTTAGTTTTTTCCAGTTTTTTTTTTTTTTTTTCCAGAGTTTTAGTTTTTTTTATTTTTTCCATGAGTTTTAGTTCCAGTTTTTTTTTTATTTTTCCAGAGTTTTAGTTTTTTTTAGTTTTTTCCATTTTTTTAGTTCCAGTTTTTTTTTTATTTTTCCATGAGTTTTAGTTCCAGTTTTTTATTTTATTTTTCCATGAGTTTTAGTTCCAGTTTTTTTTTTATTTTTCCATGAGTTTTAGTTCCAGTTTTTTATTTTATTTTTCCATGAGTTTTAGTTCCAGTTTTTTTATTTTTCCATGAGTTTTAGTTCCAGTTTTTTTATTTTATTTTTCCATGAGTTTTAGTTCCAGTTTTTTTATTTTTCCATGAGTTTTAGTTCCAGTTTTTTTATTTTTCCATGAGTTTTAGTTCCAGTTTTTTTTATTTTTCCATGAGTTTTAGTTCCAGTTATTTTTATTTTTTCCATGAGTTTTAGTTCCAGTTCTTTATTATATTTTTCCATGAGTTTTTTTAGTTTTTTATTTTTTCCATGAGTTTTAGTTCCAAAATTTTTTCCATGAGTTTTAGTTCCATTTTTTTTTATTTTTTCCATGAGTTTTAGTTCCAGATTTTTATTTTTCCATGAGTTTTAGTTCCATTTTTTTTTTATTTTTTCCATGAGTTTTAGTTCCAGACTTATTTTATTTTTTTCCATGAGTTTTAGTTCCATTTTTTCCATGAGTTTTCGTTCCAGTTTTTTATTTTTCCATGAGTTTTAGTTCCATTTTTTTTTTATTTTTTCCATGAGTTTTAGTTCCAGTTTTTTTTTATTTTTTCCATGAGTTTTAGTTCCAGTTTTTTTTTTTTAGTTTTTTTTTTTTGAGTTTTTTTTCCAGTTTTAGAGTTTTAGTTCCAGTTTTTTTTTTATTTTTTCCAGTTTTAGTTCCAGTTTTTTATTTTTCCATGAGTTTTAGTTCCAGTTTTTTTTATTTTTCCATGAGTTTTAGTTCCAGTTTTTTATTTTATTTTTCCATGAGTTTTAGTTCCAGTTTTTTTATTTTTCCATGAGTTTTAGTTCCAGTTTTTTTTTATTTTTCCATGAGTTTTAGTTCCAGATGAGTTTTAGTTCCAGTTTTTTTTTTTATTTTTCCATGAGTTTTTTCCATTTTTTCCATGAGTTTTAGTTCCAGTTTTTTATTTTATTTTTCCATGAGTTTTAGTTCCAGTTTTTTATTTTATTTTTCCATGAGTTTTAGTTCCAGTTTTTAAAATTTTTTCCATGAGTTTTAGTTCCAGATTTGTTTATTTTATTTTTCCATGAGTTTTAGTTCCAGTTTTTTATTTTTTTTTATTTTTAGTTCCAGTTTTTTTTTTTTATTTTTTCCAGTTCCAGATTTTTTTTATTTTTTTTTTTATTTTTCCATGAGTTTTAGTTCCAGTTTTTTTTTTTATTTTTTCCATGAGTTTTAGTTCCAGTTTTTTAGTTTTTTTTTTTTTTCCATGAGTTTTAGTTCCAGTTTTTTTTTTTATTTTTCCATGAGTTTTAGTTCCAGTTTTTTTTTTTATTTTTTTTCCATGAGTTTTAGTTCCATGAGTTTTTTTTAGTTTTTTTTTTTTCCATGAGTTTTAGTTCCAGTTTTTTTTATTTTTTCCATGAGTTTTAGTTCCAGTTTATTTTATTTTTTTTTTTTTTATTCAGTTTTCCATGAGTTTTTTTAGTTCCAGTTTTTTTTTTTTTTTTTCCATGAGTTTTAGTTCCAGTTTTTTTTTTTTTAGTTTTTTTTATTTTTTCCATGAGTTTTAGTTCCAGTTTTTTATTTTATTTTTCCATGAGTTTTAGTTCCAGTTTTTTTTATTTTTTCCATGAGTTTTAGTTCCAGTTTTTTATTTTTTCCATGAGTTTTAGTTCCAGTTTTTTATTTTTTCCATGAGAGTTTTAGTTCCAGTTTTTTATTTTTTTTTTTTTTTTTTTTTTTTTTTTTTTATTTTTTTTTTTTTATTTTTTCCATGAGTTTTAGTTCCAGTTTTAGTTTTTTATTTTTTTCCAGTTTTTTTATTTTTTCCATGAGTTTTAGTTCCAGTTTTTTTTTTTTTTTTCCAGTTTTTTTTTTTTTTTTTTTTCCATGAGTTTTAGTTCCAGTTTTTTTTATTTTTTCCATGAGTTTTAGTTCCAGTTTTTTTTATTTTTTCCATGAGTTTTAGTTCCAGTTTTTTTTTATTTTTTCCATGAGTTTTAGTTCCAGATTTTCATTTTTTCCATGAGTTTTAGTTCCAGATTTGTTTATTTTTTCCATGAGTTTTAGCTCCAGATTTTTAAAATTTTTTCCATGAGTTTTAGTTCCAGTTTTTTTATTTTTTCCATGAGTTTTAGTTCCAGTTTTAAAAATTTTTTCCATGAGTTTTAGTTCCAGTTTTTTATTTTTTCCATGAGTTTTAGTTCCAGTTTTTTATTTTATTTTTCCATGAGTATTAGTTCCAGTTTTTTTATTTTTTCCAGTTTTTTTATTTTTTCCATGAGTTTTAGTTCCAGTTTTTTATTTTTTCCATGAGTTTTAGTTCCAGTTTTTTATTTTTTCCATGAGTTCTGGGTTTCAGTTTTTTATTTTTTCCATGAGTTTTCGTTCCAGTTTTTTTTATTTTTTCCATGAGTTTTAGTTCGTTTTTTTTATTTTTTCCATGAGTTTTAGTTCCAGTTTTTTATTTTTTCCATGAGTTTTAGTTCCAGTTTTTTATTTTTTCCATGAGTTTTAGTTCCAGTTTTTTATTTTTTCCATGAGTTTTAGTTCCAGTTTTTTATTTTATTTTTCCATGAGTTTTAGTTCCAGTTTTTTTTATTTTTCCATGAGTTTTAGTTCCATTGTATTTTTTTTTTTTATTTTTCACATCTGTTATTCCTTTAACATCTTTTTCCATGAGTTTTAGTCAAACACAATGATAGTTCCAGTTTTTTTTTTTTTGGTTTTTTTTTATTTTTCCAAGAGTTTTAGTTCCAGTTTTATATACACTTGTGTATGATCCATGTCCTCGGAGTTTTGGGCATCCTCTAGCTCTGGATCAGTATGTTCATAAAGGCACTCTTCAAACAAAGATTGATATCAAGCAAATTAATTATCATATCATTTGCATCATTTTGACATAATAACCACAGTAACAGATGAACATTTGATACAAGGAGCTCAACCGAAATGGATTTCAAATGACCAATAAATAAAGAAACAGGAGAAAACTATCTACTGAAAATACTTATCTACAAAGAATTAAAATGAATGATATCTACCTTTGTTACCCTTCCGGAGCACGAGATCAGCACACAGGTACTCCATGATATCTCGTTGTTGGTTATGAAAGTACCAGTCTTCTATGTCCTCCTCATGGTCTTCTACCATTTGGAAACACTACAATCAATAATGCCAGAGTCTGTCTTCCACAAGGTCAGTGAATGTCAAACATTTTCCCTTTATGATAATCTTGCCAGAGTAATTTTTGTCAATTCATCATTTTTTAAAATCCTATGGACCCAGTTGTGACAGAACCTCAAATGCATCTGTTTGTAAATAATGGTAGATTCAGTCATTGTTGTTCAGCTGTTGCCTCCCAGGGACCAAATGACCTTACTTATATTGACCGGATATGTCAGAGAGAAAGACTTATACAACTGACTCTAATTATTTCCTCTCAATAATTTCTTGGAAGAGAAGATCTCCATTGTCCCAGAAGTAAAAAAACATCATAACAGTAAAGATTTCTATCAATTACACTACATCAAAGACACTGAAATAAATACACCAAGTAGTTTTAGAGTTTTAGGATGAAATATCAAACTGGAAGATGAATGACAAGCCATGACATGTTAAGAGAATAGCAATAACTTTTATGTAGAATTACACATGGCATATATATTTTCTCATTAATGTAGGGTTACGCAGTTTGTCCACATACCTCTCTGGTTCCCACTCACCTTTCTCTGCATATCAGTGACCTCAGCAGAGGGTGAATCCCACATCTCCTGAGGAATACCCAGATCCACCTTCACTCCCTTATTTCTAAAGTAGGAAACAATTAAAAATCAGCAAAAAGACATGTATATTTGGACTGTTTGGCCAACAAAACATGTTAAGATCATTTATATGCACAAAATCAATAGACCTTTCACATGTTAACATGACAAAGTGTCAAGGTCATTAATTTATACAAAGTTTGATGGACCTTGACATCCAAACGTGCCATTAGCTTCACGTTTCCAGTAAGTGTATACACGAGGCTTTGTCTAATACAGGCTTATAATATAGTCAGTACATTTTCTTATTAAAAGGAATGGAACCCATGAACAGTCAGGGTCAATTGGAAGCAGGGTCTCCTTCAAGTGGCTGTTGGCTACCTTACACTTTCTAAGTGGGTAATTTAAGAAACAACAATAACAGCAGAGGATGAAGCATGATCTTAGCTTCCTCAGAGATACACAGGTCGTCACCTGAGAAATACAAACTGACCCTGATCAAGCCACACACCTCAGATTGTCATCCGAGGCTGCAACCCTATCAACTGAGCTGTCCCCATCAATGTTTGTTCATGTTACTACAGATTTTTGGAACGTTTTTCCTGTTTGACTCCCACAAGGTATCTTTTAGCATTAGGACTCATCAAAATTATGGATATGGTTTCCTGGACTCATCTGATAAAACCCTACAAAAATGACTGCTTCAGTGTATACAAACAAGAGGCCCATGGGTCTTAACGGTCATCTCACATAAAATACAAGATTTCAATTTTTGAATTTGAGAAGAAGTTGAAAATGTGTTTTCAAGATGGCGGCCATGTTGGATTTCGGACCAACCCGAAATTAACAAACTTTGGTCAGGATCATGGCACGATCATTTCAGTTTCAGCTCAATGAGACATGTAGAACTTGAGAAGAAATTGAAAATGTATACGACGGACGGCACAGGACAAAAGGCAATCGCAATAGGTCATTAGACCCTTTGGTCAGATGACCTAAATAGTAGTGTATGTTAAGTGATGACTAGTTCTACAAACTCACGTACACTAAACCATGTAAAGTCTGCATAGTTTCACTCTCTCTTTTGTCAAATCTCAGCGAGCCTTTCTTCTCCTTGTGGACCTTGTACTTCAGGATTTGTTCACATATGTGAGGCTCATGAAGGGCTTCTATCAGTCTCAATTCCCTGTAATGACAATGCCATAAACAGTTAACAATGCCCCATACATTTTTCTCATGATCAATACTTGAAGATTTAACACAACTTCTCATCCTAAAGTCACAATCACTGTATACATGTTTGTAAACTAAATGCTGAATACTGGACAGGTTGAGATATATAAACCAGAACCAGTTTCAGTTTGAACCCTTCAATATATATGCATTTTGTGTCCTTTCATTTTGAAAAGTTTCTAAACTGACCTTATATTATGTTTTTGATTCTCTTTAAATATAGATCATGGTAGAACCCATTTATCAAAAGTTTCAAAAAATTCACAAACTTTCCCTCTATTGTTACAGTTTCCCTATATTGTTACAATTTCCCTCTAAGTAACAGTTTCTCCTCTAAGTTACAGTTTCCCTCTATTGTTACAGTTTCCCTCTAAGTAACAGTTTCTCCTCTAAGTTACAGTTTCCCTCTAAGGTTACAGTTTCCCTCTATTGTTACAGTTTCCCTCTAAGTAACCAGGTAACAGTTTCTCCTCTAAGTTACAGTTTCCCTCTATTGTTACAGTTTCCCTCTAAGTAACTAGGTAACAGTTTCCCTCTATGTTACAGTTTACCTCTAAGTAACTAAGTAACAGTTTCCCTCTATTGTTACAGTTTCCCTCTATTGTTACAGTTTCCTTCTTAGTTACATTTTACCTCTATGTTACAGTTTCCCTCTATTGTTACAGTTTCCCTCTAAGTAACTAAGTAACAGTTTCCCTCTATTGTTACAGTTTCCCTCTATTGTTACAGTTTCCCTCTATTGTTACAGTTCCCCTCTAAGTAACTAAGTAACAGTTTCCCTCTATTGTTTCAGTTTCTCCTCTAATTTACAGTTTCCCTCTATTGTTATGGTTTCCCTCTAAGTAACTAGGTAACAGTTTCCCTCTAAGTTACGGTTTCCCTCTAAGTAACTAAGTAACAGTTTCCCTCTATTGTTTCAGTTTCCCTCTATTGTTACAGTTTCTCCTCTAATTTACAGTTTCCCTCTATTGTTACAGTTTCCCTCTAAGTAACTAAGTAACAGTTTCCCTCTATTGTTTCAGTTTCCCTCTATTGTTACAGTTTCCCTCTATTGTTACAGTTTCCCTCTAAGTAACTAAGTAACAGTTTCCCTCTATTGTTTCAGTTTCCCTCTATTGTTACAGTTTCCCTCTAAGTAACTAAGTAACAGTTTCCCTCTATTGTTACAGTTTCCCTCTATTGTTTCAGTTTCCCTCTCTTGTTTCAGTTTCACTCTATTGTTACAGTTTCTCCTCTTAGATACAGTTTCCCTCTTTGATACAGTTTCCCTCTTTGATACAGTTTCCCTCTAAGTAACTAAGTAACAGTTTTTCCTCTAAGTTACAGTTTCCCTCTATTGTTACAGTTTTTCCTCTTAGATACAATTTCCCTCTTAGATCAGTTTTAGATACAGTTTCCCTCTTTGATACAGTTTCCCTCTTTGATACAGTTTCCCTCTATTGTTACAGTTTCCCTCTTTGATACAGTTTCCCTCTTTGATACAGTTTCCCTCTTTGATACAGTTTCCCTCTATTGTTACAGTTTCCCTCTTTGATACAGTTTCCCTCTATTGTTACAGTTTCCCTCTTAGATACAGTTTCCCTCTTTGATACAGTTTCCCTCTATTGTTACAGTTTCCCTCTAAGTAACTAAGTAACAGTTTCCCTCTTTGATACAGTTTCCCTCTTTGATACAGTTTCCCTCTATTGTTACAGTTTCTCCTCTTAGATACAGTTTCCCTCTTAGATACAGTTTCCCTCTATTGTTACAGTTTCCCTCTTTGATACAGTTTCCCTCTTTGATACAGTTTCCCTCTTTGATACAGTTTCCCTTTATGGTTTTGTTATTCAAGCAAATAATAACACTTCTCCTGCATCATGATCATCTTACCCAAAAAGGTTCACATCAGATGTAGGGAAATTTACATTACCTGATAAACAGCAGGGTAATTTACATTACCTGATAAACAGCAGGGAAATTTACGTTACCTGATAAGCAGCAGGGAAATTTACGTTGCCTGATAAACAGCAGGGAAATTTATGTTACTTGATAAACAGCAAGGAAATTTACGTTACTTGATAAACAGCAGGGAAATTTATGTTACCTGATAAACAGCAGGGAAATTTATGTTACCTGATTATTAGCAGGGAAATTTACGTTACTTGATAAACAGCAGGGAAATTTACGTTACCTGATAAACAGCAGGGAAATTTACGTTACCTGATAAACAGCAGGGAAATTTATGTTACTTGATAAACAGCAAGGAAATTTACGTTACCTGATAAACAGCAGGGAAATTTACGTTACCTGATAAACAGCAGGGAAATTTATGTTACCTGATAAACAGCAAGGAAATTTACGTTACCTGATAAACAGCAGGGAAATTTACATTACCTGATAAACAGCAGGGAAATTTACGTTACCTGATAAACAGCAGGGAAATTTACATTACCTGATAAACAGCAGGGAAATTTACATTACCTGATAAACAGTAGGGAAATTTACATTACCTGATAAACAGCAGGGAAATTTACGTTACCTGATAAACAGCAGGGAAATTTACGTTACCTGATAAACAGCAGGGAAATTTATGTTACCTGATTATTAGCAGGGAAATTTATGTTACTTGATAAACAGCAGGGAAATTTATGTTACCTGATAAACAGCAGGGAAATTTATGTTACCTGATAAACAACAGGGAAATTTACATTACCTGATTAACAGCAGGGAAATTTATGTTACCTGATAAACAGCAGGGAAATTTATGTTACCTGATAAACAGCAGGGAAATTTATGTTACCTGATAAACAACAGGGAAATTCACATTAACTGAAAATTTTCAATACCTGATAAACATTACCTGATAAACAGCAGGACAATCTATGTTAAATAAGAGGGAAATTTACTGATATCTGATAAATAAATGAGAAATGTCACGTAAAAAATTGGAATAGACATTAAGTCTGACATTAACAAGGAAACTTACGATTTCTGATACTGAACTCTCTTCTTCTTTTTGTCGAAGCCATGACCAGTTTCTAACACTGCTTTCGATTTGCCTGTCTCTTCAAGTCTAGCATTTAGCTCAGTGGCTAAGAATTTACAAACTGTAGAGGAAAAAAATTTAAGTCTGTTACTAAAAAAGCTAACCATATGCAAATAGATGAGCTACAGTGCAAAATCAGGATTTATTTATTAATATTTTTTTTTCATCCTTTCCTGTTTTTCTCTCTCTGCCATTCTCCTCTGTTTTTCTTCTTTTCCTGTTTCTCTTAATAAGGTAATATATGTGTGTTTTTTATCAATGTTGCAAGCTAGTGTACATGTGAGCTGTGTGATGTCTGAGTGAATATGATATGCTATGAATGTAATCAATACCATATATTGCTGAAAATTCTGAATAAAAAGAAAGTTAAAAAAAAAAAAAAAAAAAAAGCCAACTTGCTATGCCATGCCATCTGAGGAAGAAAGGAAGATGATATGCCAAGATGTGAAAGAAAAAGGGTGAAGTGACAAGCCATGAATGAAAGAGGGAGATGTGACAAGTCATGAAGGAAGGAGAATGATGTGACAAGCCTTGAAGGAAGGAGTGTGATTTGACATCCATGAAGGAAAAAGGTGATGTGACAAGCCAGGAAGGAATGAGAGTGATGTGACAAGCCATGAATGAAAGGGGGAGATGTGACATCTATGAATGAAAGAGGGAGATGTGACAAGTCATGAAGGAAGGAGAATGATGTGATAAGCCAGGAAGGAAAAAAAGTGATGTGACAAGCTATGAAGGAAGGGCTGCAATTAATGAACTGGTCAAAATTTCCAAAATAGTTCGAGTTCCATTCTGGTCATTGCACTTTCAGTCTCCTGCTACAAATTGATAGTTTAAGGTTTATTGTCAGAGGTAGGGATAATTATAAAAGGATGATGCGAGTTCCATGTATACATAGCAGGTATGGAAATAACTGTTTATATACATGGAAATAATACTGATATAACCACAGAGTTCAATTCGTGTCATAATATAATCATACCTTCGCATAAAGTTGCTTTTTTCACAGGATCTTCGTCATCTTCGGCAACAGATAGTGTGCATAGCGAAACTAACATGCACATAAATGTGAATACACGAATGTACTGCATCTTGACAGCTAATCCACATGGCATATACTGTGTATTGTATCGGAGATCCAGGAAGTTCACTTTGACCCTTGACCTTACTGAACAAAGTACACATGAAATCCTCGTGTAATTTTCTCATATTTTATACATATAAAATATCATTTATTTTGTTTTGCAAAATTTCGCACGATTATAATTGAAAAATATATTTCTATTACCTGCTAATAAGATATATTCGATTTATGTAAGATGTTTGCTTTGATATGACAATTAATAAATACATATATAGGCTATCACATGAAACACCGGGCGTGTTGCTTCCGCATTGGTTTTTGGGTTTGTGTAGATAATTACTGAGGAGAGCCATTCGTGTCGACTGGCCAGAGTCCACGAATACATTACTGGAATATCCATTAGCATCAATTTGGGTAAATGGATTGTTTTTGTTTCGTAGCTTCGAACAACAATATTTCTGCATAAAAATTGATTTCACAGAAGATCAGAACAAATCTTATCACTGACTATGAATCATCATGTTTCAAAGAACAGGAAATTAATATTCTGTATATATGATACTCTTTATCCTCCAAATATTTGCGACAGATTAACACGATATTTGCCAGTATTATCTAAATGAAACAGAGGAGACAATGATAAAGCATATCATTTTACATTGTGGATGGAATTAGCCCTGGTTAGGATGTGACAACATGACCTTTGGTTTGTGTAGTTTTGTAGGCCTACAGCGAACGTACATACTAGTACAGAGATGGAAATAGGTTGAACGTCTGTAATAACAGACTGGTGTTTCTATTCCTCATTGATTTGTGTTACAGTGGTTTCCAGACTTTTAAACTTCAATGGTTATATTGTTACTCATTTGAAAAATGTGAAATTCCTGTCCAAGTCCACAGGATTTCCGCTTCATTTAATGTAACATTGCTGCCAGTACATAAAGTACTGGTACATGTGGAGAAAATATATCTGATAGAACAGATTCTATGACAAGAGAAGGTAGTTTAAGCGTCCCTGTTTCTGGTCCTTCTCTGATACTCCCTCTGACTTCTATGTAAATACAGTCAAACCAATCTTAAAAGCTACCTTTATACAAAAACGACCTGTCTATTAATGCTGGTTTTTTGGTTCCCTATGTAATGTGATTCATAGTAATTGAACCTCTGTATAATAACTACCAGTATATAAAGACAACATTTCTTATGTTCCATTGACTGGCCTTTATAGACAGGTTTGACTGTCATTATGTTTATTTCAAGAACTTTTTACATTGATTGAAATTGAAAACATGATCTCTCTTTTTAGCCGAAAACTTGTGACAATGCCAGAGACATTCAGTTTTGGTATAGATCCAGTCACTACTCATGCCTGGAACAGCAATCACACAGGTAAGAAAGCCTGTTCATTACATCAGGATAATGTCTTTCAAAAAAGAGGCTTTATATTTTAAAGAAATAGATATGCGTATGTCACTCATAATTTTACAAACACCAGATATTTGGATCCTACGTAGTTAATTCATTCAGAATTCAGATTATTGAGATTAATTGCTTGTCTCCATTTGATACCAGTATTACTATTTCTCATATCAATGGATGTTGATGGCTAGAGTAGGGGATAGTTTGAGATTAATAGGTAATCAATTGTATGACATATTTTTAAGCAGGAAGTAACTCGTGATGAAAATATCTGTCACACCTCATACATATTTACACACATACAAGTGTGCTTTTTTGGATATTTCTGTATGGGGGAAAACCTTGGTTTTTACTTATATCTTTTTATCATGTTTTAGAGGTTGCAGTTTCCCTCAACAACCATGAGGTGAAAGTGTTTAAGAAGACTGGCATCACATACAATAACACGGCCACCCTGAAAGAACATGGACAGCGAGTAACTAGTATTGACTGGGCACCTAAAAGTAACAGCATAGTCACATGTGGTGCGGTAAGTTAACCTAAAACTCCATCAAACCTTAAGTTTTATGCTCTTGTACATGATCTGTTAGTGTGGACTTTATGATATTTCACTGTAGTATGCCTAAGTTTTACCTGTCCATGGTTTATTATATACTGTATGGTTGTTTGATTTTACACACCTGTGAGTAACTTCTGCCAGTTTGTTATATTTAACACAGTTTATCTGTTGATGTCACAGTCCTTGTACCTGGTATATACCATACAAACTTACATGTTTTGTAAAATTAGTCACTTACATCAACCAAAGTACATGGGTATGATGGATTATTGAGCACTGATATTGGACCATATCAATTAAGATGTATTGCAATTACTCTATCACATACAATTGCTAATTTTGAATAGGAGTTTTTATTTGAGAAATCTGAGTGTCACTTACAAAAATCAGCTTTTTGGCTGTGTGCTTTGAAGAGTTTTGGGCCTTTAGTCCTCACATATGACATGATCTGCGGTGTATATAGGAATATTTTGTAAGATTTGTCACTTACATCCACCAAAGTACATGGGACTGATTTACTGAGCTCTGATATTGGACCATGTGTTCACTTTATATAAATAATGATGTTGTTTCATCAGTTTGATGGTTAAAAGCAAGGTTAGAGATATTGATTCATAATTATTTGGAATGCCTGTTGCTTGTTTTAATTAGAACTGGTTTTTCTACTACAGGACAGGAATGCCTATGTGTGGACTCTTCAAGATGATGGTCAATGGAAACCAGTCCTTGTGATCTTACGAATCAACCGTGCAGCGACCTGCGTGCGCTGGTCACCAGATGGTGAGAAATGCTTGGTTTCGTTTGGTATCAGTATGTTGTTTTAATACTGTATGATACCTGTCCTATTCTTGTTCAGGAAGAAGATATACATTTTGTACAGTTAAGAAACATTTAGTTCATTTAAAACGATTACTTGTTTCAGAGAACAAATTTGCAGTTGGGAGTGGTGCTCGTATCATCTCAATTTGCTACTTTGAAGAAGACAATAAGTGGTGGGTCAGCAAGCATATCAAGAAGCCGATTCGATCAACTGTAACTTGGTAAGTCAATCTCTCTTTTATTGATTAATGACAGACTTGGAGAAATCTATTTGTTTTAGCTTAGGTTCAAATCTTTTACAAATACTACAAAAACAAAACCCTACTTACTGAGCACTCCTTGACCTATGGAGATTATTGTTGTGTAAATGAAGTGTGTTCAAGGTACCATAGGGGAAAATACCCTTAAAACTCTAAAGTAGAGTGGTTTTATTCTGTTTGCTTCAACATTGAAACTGTGAGAGTCTAATACTCCTTAAAAACAGAATAAAGTCCTCTTGTGTTGACAGACATACATCATTATTCATTATTACTCTGGAATAAGGGAAAGCATCTTTATATAGATGTGGGATATGTCTGTTTCAGGGTAAAGAGACAGAGCCAAATAGGTGTAAACAATGTCTGTCTGACAGAATTTATCACCAAACTTCTTATAAATAATTCAGTGGATATCTAAGACAAGCACTCTGATTAGAGATATCCTCCAATAAAAAGGAATTCAATTATATTTTAGTTGACATGGAATCTGTCTGTGGCTGGAAGAAAGATTTACTAACTTGTGAGAACACAGGCCCCAATGGACATGCTTTTGATAAATGTGGTGAAACTCTTAATTAATTAGTGTAATGTAATAGTGAATCTGGGTTGTTTTGCAGCATTGACTGGCATCCTAACAACATTTTGTTAGCAGCAGGCTCCACAGATTTTAAGGCAAGGTAAGATAAATACATTGACTTCAGACTGAATTTCTGTGAATCAGCCATGTTTTATCCTCGGGAAATCTGCCTGGATTCCCCTCTGTTTAGAATCTCTTAACATCATTATTTCAGTGTTGGTTGGTTGATTGGTTTAGATGTGCTTCAAGTTTTGTCAACACATTTAGGTCACTTAAGGTCACAAGGCCACAAAAGACATGAATAGATTAAGCCCAACATCATCACTGCCATCAACAGATGGTGGGTTGTTAAAATTGTCGTTTGTCCATGGTCTGTCACCTGTCCATATGTAAACAACTTTTGTTGAGAAGCATTGGAGGGGCATTTCTCAAATTTCAAATATAGATTCCCCCCTGTCTTTTGTTATGCCAAATTAGTTTGAAATCCTATCAGTGATATATAATGGCTAACAGCCAGCCATATTTAGACAGTTGAAGATTGTTATTCAAGTTTTGTGTCTGTTCAAGAAAACAAAATGGCTGGCTAGATACCATCATCTTTGATTTTTAGCCGTTGAAGTATGTTATTACAGTTTCTTATTAGATCGTTTATAGATTTCACTGGATTTCCTTGTTATCACATTATTAGTGGAAGAGTAGATCAGTCTACATAGAACCATAGAAGATAATTCCTTGGAGAGCGCCATGCTTCCTCTAGGATTTCTGCATTTTTGGATGTATCAGTTGTAACTAGTTACAGCCCTTTGTGTTACTGGATCAAACATTTGATCAATCTATTCTATCCCAAACCACAACGGAGAAATCCATAGGCAGGAACATAACAAATAAAGTTCATGCTATGTGATATTATTCATCACAGAAAATATTCACTGATGTCAGTGGTCTCAGCATGGTATGAATACTGAGAGGAAGTTTTAAGAAAATGACAGCTACACATCAGTATAAAACTGCAGATACAAAGACATTTCAGAGCTTTTATTTTGTCTATTTACAGCTAGTTAAAGCATTTTGCGTTGAGTCATTTCACTGTAGAATGAAGTTTCATTGATAAATGTCGCACAGTAAACTATAACAGCATTATCTGATTTATTTTATAAATATGAAATTATATTGTGTGTACTTACAAATCAGCTGGTCAGAAATTGGTGTTATATTTGATTTCACTGCACGCCATTATCTCTGGCATCATAGTTAGATTCTGTGATAAACTCTCTCGTTTTACTGAAGCTATTTAATATATACCCATGTTTTGTTCCAGAGTTTTCTCCGGTTACATAAAGGACATAGAGAAGAAACCTTCTGCCACTACCTGGGGATCCAAGATGACACTTGGAAATCTCATGTGTGAATACTCTAATGGTGGAGGTAAACATATCTATAAATACCTGTCAAAATCATTTCCTCAAGTATTTAAAAAAATCATTGTATCAGTCATATAATCAATTGAATATGTAACATTTTCTTATCATAAAATTGCTAGAAATGTCTATCATCAGATGATGGGCTGTCTGGTTAAATGCTTCTGTTAATTTCATTTTTCAAGATCACAAAATCAGCCTATATTGCATATTAAAGTTAAATATCTAGTAGATTTCAATTTTGTCAGAATTATGTGATTGTTTGTACAGGTGGATGGGTACACAGTGTGTCATTTTCCCCTAGCGGAGAAAAGCTGGCCTGGGTAGGACATGATGCTAGCGTGTCCGTAGCTATGGCAGGTAGTGGTGACGCGTAAGTATGACCTTGTATGAAAAAAAAAACCACTGGTTACAAAACATACACCAAATAAAATTGTTTTCATGCTATCATACCATCAAATATATCAGTTGTAAACATTTGCCAATTTTCAATAGTTTTTTAATGAAATCAATCTACCAATGATATGTGAGCTAAAAGTGGATGTATCTTTATAGTAAATAATAGTTGTTAGCATTTATACATAGATGTAGTACTCCTTAGGAAATATCAGTGTATAACATTGGTGGCCATGAAACTGGTAGTCTTCTGAACACAGATAACTTCAAAATGTAGCCAAGGTAGAAAAATTACAAGGTGTAACTTCTTACCTAGTGATTGTTCTTTCAAGTTCTACTTTTCCTTCTAGCATCGCTGTTGTCAAAGGAAACTTCCTGCCCTTCATGAGTTTGACCTGGGTGACTGAGAACAGCATGGTCTGTGTGGTAAGTCTACAGTATGACTTGGGTGACTGAGAATAGCATGGTCTGTGTGGTAAGTCTACAGTATGACTTGGGTGACTGAGAACAGCATGGTCTGTGTGGTAAGTCTACAGTATGACTTGGGTGAGTGTGAACAGCATGGTCTGTGTGGTAAGTCTACAGTATGACCTGGGTGACTGAGAACAGCATGGTCTGTGTGGTAAGTCTACAGTATGACTTGGGTGACTGAGAACAGCATGGTCTGTGTGGTAAGTCTACAGTATGACCTGGGTGACTGAGAACAGCATGGTCTGTGTGGTAAGTCTACAGTATGACCTGGGTGACTGAGAACAGCATGGTCTGTGTGGTAAGTCTACAGTAAGACTTGGGTGACTGAGAACAGCATGGTCTGTGTGGTAAGTCTACAGTATGACCTGGGTGACTGAGAACAGCATGGTCTGTGTGGTAAGTCTACAGTATGATTTGGGTGACCAAGTACATGTACAACATGGTCTGCAAACAGTTACCTTACCACTCACATATAAAGACATTGAGGGTAATCCCTTATCTGGTAACTCAAATTTCCTTTTGAACAGATCACAATGTATGATAATGATGGAAGGCTTTGTACCTTTTTTAATAAGTGTGACTATGATTGTTGTATATTTGTCTGCAGGGTTACGACTGCTGCCCAAAGCTGTTCACTCACAGCGACGATGGACAAGTAACATTCATCAGTGATCTAGACATTCCACAGGAGAAGGACCAAATGACAATGAGGTCAGAACACTTTTTGTTTGATGTCCCTAGACATTTTCCATCACCTCGGTTAACCAGCACGTAGCTGAAGCACATACCATCAATATTCTTTTTGTGTCCAGTATTGTTTTAAGTGAGTGGTTCGACATAATTCTACCTAAATAAGCTTCAAGCAGCACACATCCATCTGAGTAAAACGAACTGTTCACTTCCTTCTGAAATGGCTGCTTACCACTTTATTTTTAAATTAACTTAGAAGATATTTAAATTTTCTGTCTTTGTTTTCAGTGCTATGAATCGATTCCGTCAGATGGACAAGACAGGAACAGCAGAGAGTACCGGGGAAGTGAAAACTAAGCATCAAAACACCATAACGTAAGTGAAGATCTGGGATCAGTACTCTTACAATATCGGGAGCTCAATTTGGGGATGAAATACTCGAAGTGTTTTTACTGTGAAAATCTTTTACTGTATTACATATTGTTCCCTTTAAAAACAATGTCCATATTGTATAGTTGTTGATTCTAGAACAAGAAATTTTCACTTTCTCTCTGAACCTATGATTTAGCCTTGTCTATGTTTTGGGCGCTATATTCCATTTGTTTTCACTTTGATAAAGAAAATTTTACCTTATTTGTGCAGCAAAGTGTCTGTGTATGCTGGGACAAAGGCTGACTGTACAAAATTCTCTACCTCTGGAGCAGATGGCCAGCTTATCATTTGGGACTTTAAAGTAAGTCTTCCTCATGATTACAGGACAAATCCAAAATACGTGAAATATATGTCTTACTGTGAAACCTTTATTGTTCAGAGGAACTTATTTTCATTAACTTTGTGGATACTCCTGATCCAGGAATTCATATGTCCACAAGTTGTTCAAACAAATTGAGATTTATTGAGCTATGTTTATCCATGATATCAAAATTCCATGAAAAACAAATTTTTTTGTAAAATCCAAAAAATTGAACCTTCATGAAGCTATGGCTTAGTGAATTTAATTTCTCCATGATTTTTTGATAACATTTCAAAAAAGAGTTGTATAATTAGGTCAAGCAAAACAAGCACTAAAGTTAAAGTTTGACAGCATGTCTGACAGTGATACTGATGATTGAAATGTGTTTTGATGTTTCAGTCCCTGGAAAAGAGTATTTCTGGTCTCAAGATAGCCTAGACATCTTCATACCACAAGTCTTTCACAAGAATGTGTACCGCTGTAATATCGCCCATCTCCAGCAGTATATCAACAGATGGGCGCCTGTAATAAACATTATCTATAGTTAAGGGAACACCAGTAAATACTGGGGACAGTCAGACCTATGCAATACTGCAACCTTCCATCAACTCCTGTAGACATTACACCGAGCAGTGTAAACAGCAAGATTTCCACTGCATTGTCAACAATTATCCCTGTGTCATATAAGTGTAACTGAAACATATTTACAATGTAATACTGTAAGGTCAGCACTCAGTCTTCTGTATGTATCAGTCTGCTAGATATTACGAGACTCATATTTATTGTATTAACAAATTATTTCTAATAACAAATAAAACCATTCTTTTGGATTCTTCTGATGAGTATTGTTGTGGTTTTTTAATTTGATCGAAAGATGGTTCACTGTCAGAACTGACCTGTAAATATTTTAAGTGTACAGTGTGATGTGCGAGGTCTAGGTTACCTGGTTATTTAATGTGTTTAAGTTGTAGCTTATTTTCATTTCTAAACCTAATGTGTTACAATTATTGATTCACACTGACCTTGAACAGAGTCTGTTGATGACGACGCTTGATTTCACTGTTAATATAGGACTACAAAAGGCTATCTGTTAATAAGCTGGTCGGGAGATCTGTGTTGTTTGTAGTAGTCAATGCTTGTCCCGAGAGAAAGGGATTGGTCATGACAAGCATGCAGCTATTGATGACAGTTAAACATAGCTGAAGTGAGACTTCTTAGTCATGCTGAAGTGCTTGACACGTTTTGTTAGGGATCTTATAGTCTATGTTATATACACACACACACCCACTGTGTTAAAGTTGTTGTCAGTGAGTGGTGTGTTCTGTTGTAACCACAAGTCTTATCTTGTCAGAATACCTGGAGCAGATTTACACGCTAGTCACTGGCTGCCAAGACACACTGTAATTTATACAATGCTGATGTAGATTGGTACCAGGTGAATAGAGCAAGTTGTGCTCCACTGAGAAGTAGCTTGTTATTGGCCAGGAGTATTAAGTTCTCCTTCATCTCACCTAGTATTTTTACATAATATAAGGATGTTGATTGGCCGATAAACTCTGTAGAAGTTATTGGAATATGTTCACGCTTACAGAGAGCAAGATCCAGTCATTCATATGGATGGCCCATCGCTTTTAGCGTTATCATAAATGTATGCTGTTTACTGCTCAGTATAGACGTATTAATTTCTATGCATTGGTAAACACAAAAAAAATGGAAACAGTTTAAGATTAAATGGTTTATTGTCAGATACTTCAGACAGATCAGCTGTAAATGATACAGCAACATTACATCATCAATTATTGGAGTATTAGGGTGCTTTCACGTAAGCAGTTGAAACGGTTAGACTGGTTGAACCTGCAAGAAAAAAGAGAGGTACAGACCGGGACCCAGACTGGACTGCGGAATATTTGGCACATGCAGTTTGAGGGGTCCAGCCTTACCTGTCCGAAACTAACTTGCTGTTTATCGTTAATTTTCAGAATTTCAGCACACAAGGTAGAGTCGATGCACTCACATATTTCTGAGAGCATTGTCCTACAAAGTATGAGTGAAGTGGATGGTATCTTAATTTTAGTTAAATTTTTTAATGATTTATAGGAACTTCTGAAACTGTGCATTTTGAGCTTTACATATATCCGGTCCAACATCCAGTATGTTCATGTATAGTGGATTAATTTCAGGCCGCCTGAACCGTTTCAACCAGGTTACAAAAAATGCAGCCTAAATCTACATATTACCATGTTTGAAGACAAATAACCAGGTTTTAGTGAAAAGGTTTCTTTACACAAACAAATCCGGGTAAAACATTTATGGTAGATTCCTAAAAGACATGTACTATTGAGCTTTGTCTTGTCTACTTGCCATGAAAAATCAGCAGTATTATCGACACATGTATCATTTAATTTCAAAATGGAATGCATCGAATGTCGGTAGAGGGAGACTACCCAATTAATGCCCAGAATTAAATCCAAGAGGATATATCACAATTTGTTTCTGTGAGTGATTTAATATACTTCAGTAATACATCATTGTTTTATCCGTAAATCATCAGAGGGAGAAAATACTGCTTGACTTGGCCACATGACTTATTTGTATATTTAGTAAATACAAAGTTTCATCACTTAAGGCTACATCTGACTACTTACATGCATAATTTCCTCTGTAACCAAGACTTTGTCATGGAAAATCTCTTAGCATCAAGTTTTTAACTTTACTGAAGTAATTTGTCCACAAAACAAAAACAGCCCTATATCATTGATGATGTTATCAAAAAAGAAATGATATGACATTCAATGTATGATTTTTTAAATTACTTGTAGCATATATACATAGATATATATCCTAAGAGTAACACACTAGAGTTATACCACTATAAATCTCGTGTACCTGATGACCTTCTACGAAATACACCCAATCAAATTGAGACATTTCTAGACAACACAAATTTATAAACTTCTTCATGATGTCCTAAATATCACTATGCTAACAAAAGATCAATGAAGCACATGGCACTTGACAATATAGTGTATGATAATTTCCTATGGTCATACAGTATAGTACATGTTGGTGTTACTGTGGTGTATGATGGTGTTACTGTAGTGTATGATGGTGTGTATGATGGTGTTACTGTAGTGTGTGATTGTGTTACTGTAGTGTGTGATGGTGTTACTGTGGTGTATGATGGTGTTACTGTAGTGTGTGATTGTGTTACTGTAGTGTGTGATGGTGTTACTGTGGTGTATGATGGTGTTACTGTAGTGTATGATGGTGTGTATGATGGTGTTACTGTAGTGTGTGATTGTGTTACTGTAGTGTGTGATGGTGTTACTGTGGTGTATGATGGTGTTACTGTAGTGTGTGATTGTGTTACTGTAGTGTGTGATGGTGTTACTGTGGTGTATGATGGTGTTACTGTAGTGTGTGATTGTGTTACTGTAGTGTGTGATGGTGTTACTGTGGTGTATGATGGTGTTACTGTAGTGTATGATTGTGTTACTGTAGTGTGTGATGGTGTTACTGTGGTGTATGATGGTGTTACTGTAGTGTATGATTGTGTTACTGTAGTGTGTGATGGTGTTACTGTGGTGTATGATGGTGTTACTGTATACACAATAACACTGTATACACAAGAACTTTCTGTATACACAATAGCACTCAGTACACACAATAGCACTCTGTATATACAATAGTACTGTCCAAAATGTTACAAATATCATAAAAAAATGATAATGTACATGTTAAATCTATCATATAACCCTCATGATATTATATGTATATGAAAGGGTTACATTATTGAAGAGCTAAAAATAACCCCTGTTGGTATCCAAATCTCACAACAATAACATTTACCTAAAAATAAATACAATTTTTTTCCATTAAAATTGCCAAAAGTCAAGTCATTAGTATGTTATCGAACATAAATACCATAAAATTTCATTCATGTACAAGTTGGTGTTTGTACCAGTTACTTCAGGTTGACATGTATATTAACCAGCATGTCAGATTTAGTGGATACAAGTTAGATTACGATAATTCATTCTGACGTATAACATGGATTATCATCTATTTCTATGGTTGGAGGCATTACACAATATGTGAGATCAGTTTCAATCTTCATAAAAGAAGTGTGTACATGACATAACATAAGGTATGAAAACAAATACAATGAAGGTTAGAGTCAATGTTAAAAAAAAAGAACAAAATTCCTGCCAATCTTCTAGGTAACCATGTGATAAATCCATGGTCAGTATTCCTCCCTGTCACAAAATCACACTTTCTAGCAAATAGGCCACACTGACTGTGTACTTATTTCCAGAAAAAAAGGTTTGTTAAAAAAGAAATCACCATATTTTGGGTTTTTTTTTTTTTTATACTTGTACTTTTTATGTTTTTTTTTTTTTAATTTTATTACCATTTTTTTGTTGTTTTTATTTCAGGTTTTTTTTTTGTTGTTTTTAAAGAAAAAAATTATATATAAAAAAACTCAAGAAACTTTAAGATGGACCAAAGGATAAAAAAAAATAGGTCTGTGGCAGTTTAAAGTTCCAAGCATGAATTTTAAACCTACAATGGTGATATATAGAAGGAACAAAAGCTAACATAACCCTTTAAAAGTTTAAAATCCTCCAAAGAAAACAATTTCTTTGTGACAATTTTACACCTCAAAAGAATTAAAATGAGAATATCTTGGCTTCATCCAGACAAGACCGGTATCATGAAATAATTATATAGAAATTGTTTTACTTGGAAATTACAATATCACGATTTCCAGGGAAATTAACCATTGCCTTTGCTGTATTACCATAAGAAAACAATGGAGGTAGATTAGTTAACTAGAAACTTATATGGGGTACTTCAAACAAACTACTTGTTAAGAGAAAATCTTTCAAAACATTCAAATCTATATTCACCAACATGGTCCTACTATGTCCATACTCATCAACATGGCCCTACCATGTCCATACGCATCAAAAGGACCAATAGGGCCATCGTGTCCATACTCATCAACAGGACCGATAGGGCCATCGTGTCCATACTCATCAACAGGACCAATAGGGCCATCATGTCCATACTCATCAACAAGACCAACAGGGCCATCGTGTACATACTCATCAACAGGACCGATAGGGCCATCGTGTCCATAATCATTAACAAGACCAACAGGGCCATCGTGTCCATACTCATCAACAGGACCGATAGGGCCATCGTGTACATACTCATCAACAGGCCCGATAGGGATACGTGTCCATACTCATCAACAGGACCGATAGGGCCATCGTGTACATACTCATTAACAAGACCAACAGGGCCATCGTGTCCATACTCATCAACAGGACCAACAGGGCCATTTTTTCCACAGTGGACATCTTCAATCAACATCCACCAACAGGCCCCTATCAGGCTTTCATGCCCATATTCATCAACAGGACCCATGACAAAAATAATGGCAGTGTTCATAGACCACTGTCTTGATGCTCACCAACCCAGCTTCACAAAATATATTGACAAATTACAAAGTCCTTATAAATACAATGATCAAATACTCATCTGGTATTTGATTGTAGTGATGGGTTCCGTTAATTTCTACAATGAAGCTAAAACATGGAAAATTAAAAACATGAAAACTTTTAAACAAAAAGTCTGACAGGCGACTCCTTTATCAAACCTTCTGTGTCCTCCAGCAGAAAACACATACTGAGGTCCATTATCAAATCAATACACCAAACTACAAATCTCACAAAAAACACACCATTCCATTCAAAGCAGGTTTTATGGAATGGAGAAGAAACTATATGTCACAAATCACAAACATTTTTTAAGTACACATATGTACATTTAGTGACATTCAATGATACACATCACTAGTAGGTTATACATACATGTACGTTCATGTTTAAGGAGCACAATATTAGGTATAAACTAAAGATACCACTTAAAAATTTTTTTTAATTATTTTTTTTTTTATGTAGATGAATGTGTATCTTCTATGAATTTTGCACTGTTAGATTGCTTTTACATAATACAATTAATACAAAGATTATTGGAATAATGTGTAGTTTTAAACATAAAAGACAATTATTATTCCTGTACATCTATGTTGTATTTCTAACCTGCCAGGTAGAACACATCAGTAGATGTAGTTGTTACACAAGATATTCCACATACACAATTTATACACATGTCTGAGACACAATGTAAAAGTCAAAAACACAAAGTCTCTAACAACCTGACACCAGATTTCGTCCACAGTAGACAGTGAAACTGACCATCACCTCTTGTCAACAGAACACAGTGAAACTGAATACCACCTTTTGTCCACAGTAGACAGTGAATCTGGACACAAACTTTTGTCCACAGTAGGCAGTGGAACTGACCATCACCTTTTGTCCACAGTAGACAGTGAAACTGAACACCACCTTTTGTCAACAGTAGACAGTGAAACTGAACACCACCTTTTGTCCACAGTAGACAGTGGAACTGAACACCACCTTTTGTCCACAGTAGACAGTGAAACTGAACTGAATGCCTAGTTGGTGTCAGAATTATCCAGAGTGAAGATCAATTATATCAAATACAGGAGTATTTAGTATCACAATGAAAGTAAGAAAAATATAAAACGGTAAATGTCTAACACAAAAACCCTGTAAGTACACATATTTCAATCATTCTGCAGAAAAAAACAAAACAAGTATGTTCACATATATCCCTGTTATCACATCACTTACACGTAAATTTGTCAGTTATAAACTTGATACAAGGCATACAAATAAATCTTCTTTTATACACTTCACTGAAGGACAGCCCTGAAATGTTTGCATGTTTATCAGTAAGTTTAAAGATATATCAGCCCATACAGAGACAGGTATAGAACTGTGAAACCTTTGTCTTTATAAAGCACTGTCACTTGAGACCATACTTATCACTCGGAAATTATTATCACTGAAAGCTGAAACGCTAATCATAATCTCAATGCTTTCAAAATATCATTCAGTAACTAATATCTATTTCTACAAATTATCAATTTGTGGTTTGTGTTTTAGAGACAAGAACATTGTCTGTTAATATTGAAAAACCAGGAATTATCACAGACTCATTAACAATCATTATACACTTTACAAAAAAAAAAAAAAAATTGAAAAAAGGTCAGAAATTAAAAATTAAAAGGTCATACTTTTCAGTTTTCACAGGTAAAAAGATCCAGAGCTGTGATAACACATATATGTGTATGTAAGTCGGTGGTAGGGGATATGTAGGTTTTGTAATGTACACAATACCAGTACTGATTGGTACAAATAAATTTCCTATATCCCGACTGCTTGCGTGTTACAACAAATATCTGGTCTTTAACAGCTGTTTTATCTGTATAGTCTACAACCTATAACTAAAGTCTCGATAAGAGGGCTTTATATGTTAATGAGGACTGATATGTACTCGTCTGTCCCAGAAAAAGTTAACACAATAGAACATACCCAGTATCACTAGGTGTTCAGGACAGCGGATACAACAACAGGTACCAGGCAAGCAGTAAATTACAAAAGTGAACCTTATATCGAGGGGAGTTTTCCAAGACATTACTTTAAGACACTCATATCATTGAAGCTTCTCCAAACAACCCCTCACATACTCAGATCTCTTCTTAAGCCACAGGAAACATCAAGATCTGTACACATATTGCTTTCAGAAACATAAAAGTACCAACTGATGCCAATGAAATATACACACAATATGTCCCAAATGTCAGGTTGCCTATCAATAAAAGATGTCTTTGACCCAAATACATTCATAGTAACGATTGCCCTTTCTTAATGAAATATTGTCAACAATTTGTTTACCTGTAAGATGTACATTATCAGGGTACTGGACATTGTTATAAGATATCTTCCATCAAAGACAACAAATTCACAAAAATATTTTTACTAATTGGTCAGACATATCATGTTTTAACTACAAACTATAATTCTGATAAGGAAGATTGTGTAAATGTTGTTTCAGGGGCCTGATTACTCTTCATCATACATTTCTGCCGATACCAGATGTTATGTTCAAGTTCCTGAGATTAATAAGTCTTAAGCAAGATCTTGACTTTTCCTGTGGTTAAGCAAACACCAGTTACAAGAGGGGTTGATCTGAAGCCTCCCAATAACATTAGAGTCTTAAACATAACGACAAACTCATCATGATATAGGGTGCAGCTACTGTAAATAACCACATGTCCGAGATCCATGTCCGCTGTCATCAACACCCAGTGAGTGTGCCTTTGTACAAACACAGTCATAACAATGCTTAAAAAATACCAAGAAACCTCCTTAACTGATGCTTTTCATACAAAACTTTATCACACTGAACTACAAAACATGCAGTGAACATTTATAACCGTTGATAAATAAACAAAGTAACCATCAGCACTATTTGAACAAAATCATGAAAAAATAGAAAAAGTTACATTGTACATGAATACAGATTGTCAAGACACTAAAAATCTTTCTGGAGAATTCTTCATGATTAGTAATGCTTGACGTCTAAAATGTTCCATCCTCAGCCAGACTGACCAATGCCTCGTCAGTCCTCACAGACTCCCCACATCACTCCTCTCTCCTACTACATCTCCCTCACTCCTCCTCCTCCTCAACCTCCCCATACGCCTCTTCTGCCAGAGCAAAGTATTTGTTTGCCAGTCTCCCCTTCATGGCAGCCATGGCTGCTTCTGCAGCCTCATTGTATAAGTCACCTACATAAAAAGACAATGTCAAAATATTAAAAAAAATCAACACCCAAACAGATTGTAGTTTGAGCTAAACAGTAAACTCAAGTTGCCAGTTGTAAGCTTGCTTTCAGCATGTTTCACTCGAGCTAGGCACATTGCCTGGCTCTCCGAATTGGCACTTTCCCTGGCTGGTATATGTCATTCATGCACATACACACAAGGCATACTTCCAACCCAACATGCTGCCTCACTTTAAGCAATAGCAGAAATGAACCAGCAAGAATTAACTTTGCCATTAAATATGATGAAAGCTAATCTTCTGTCATAAAGTCAACTGTTAAGACTAGACCAGGACTAATCTATGTACCTGCTGTTGATGGGTCCTTTTCCAGACCATGGCCCCCTTTGTGCAGCAGCTCAGCCTTTTTAGCTATAAGGATATGGAGAGGATCCTCCATTGTACAGCTGTATTCGCCACCTTCATCATGGTTGTCAGTCTCAATGGCCCGTTCGTACCAGGACAGGGAATCCTCCCACGATATTGATCTACAGCATCAACAATTATCTTAATTTGACTCTGTTCACTGCTTATTTATCTATCATATCCTATTCACTCCATCCCAGTTTTCAAGATTGTTTATTTATCTATCATATCCTATTCACTCCATCCCAGTTTTCAAGATTGTTTATTTATCTATCATATCCTATTCACTCCATCCCAGTTTTCAAGATTGTTTATTTATCTATCATATCCTATTCACTCCATCCCAGTTTTCAAGATTGTTTATTTATCTATCATATCCTATTCACTCCATCCCAGTTTTCAAGATTGTTTATTTATCTATCATATCCTATTCACTCCATCCCAGTTTTCAAGATTGTTTATTTATCTATCATATCCTATTCACTCCATCCCAGTTTTCAAGATTGTTTATTTATCTATCATATCCTATTCACTCCATCCCAGTTTTCAAGATTGTTTATTTATCTATCATATCCTATTCACTCCATCCCAGTTTTCAAGATTGTAACAACTAATCTGGTAACAATAGATAGGTACATTTTACATAACAGGACTGTGGCAGGTGTTAACCCTTAGTCAGGTGACATAACAGGACTGTGGCAGGTGTTAACCCTTAGTCAGGTGACAGAACAGGACTGTGGCAGGTGTTAACCCTTAGTCAGGTGACATAACAGGACTGTGGCAGGTGTTAACCCTTAGTCAGGTGACATAACAGGACTGTGGCAGGTGTTAACCCTTAGTCAGGTGACATAACAGGACTGTGGCAGGTGTTAACCCTTAGTCAGGTGACTCAATAAGTAAGAAAGAGCAGTATTTACAGCTACCTATGTCAGGCCCAATGACAGAAAGCTTGCCTTACAAAAATTTCATATTTTTTAATGACAATGAATACAAATCACTCTTCAAACAGAAGGGTATTTTCATGAAAAGCAAAATCAAGGAACGACAATATTAAGGAGGCTGGTTATATCGGATCCCTAACTCAGCATAGCAGTTATTTCTCGTTTGTATTCATTTGTTAATTGGTAAACTCACTGTGAACAGTTCATGAACTGTTTGTCTTTATATGTCCTTTTCTGCTCTTAGATGTCATTCACAGACACAAGTTGCTCACAGGAAAATTCCTACCTGATGACTACTCTACTCTTTGATAACTAAAACACCTTGTATTCCTGGAACAATTGTTTTTACAGTAAAAATATGACAGTACTACAGTGCTGACCTTTTAGTACCAAGGCCAATGCCAGTCTCAAATGCTTTAGCTATGTAGATCATTGCTCCACGGTCTCCAGCTTCAGCAGCCTCCACCATGTAGTCAACACCAATGTTGAAATTCTCATCACTCTTCTGTACACCAAATCAACACCAAATTAATAAGTATGGTAACACACGATTTATCTTCTTTCATTCAACAGTGTTACTATATATTCAGATAAGGTAGTGAAGCTTCACAGGTAAACAGAAACATATATATCCTACAAAAAATCCAAGGTGCTGACATCAGACCCCACTTCCATGAATTTTATCTAACTTAAAGAATTTTTCTTAACTTAAAACTGCTCATAAAAAAACATTACATAAGATAATGACATATAGCTTATAGCTTTTTCTTACCTGATCTAATGCTTTTCTATGCAAGTTAGTTTTCCTTAATTTAAGGAAGATTTATAAAACTGGGGCATGATCTCTAAGGAAGATTCATAAAACTGGGTCATGATCTCTATGGAAGATTCATCAATCTGGGGCATGATCTCTCAATCCTGCTTACCTCAATAACACAACTAATCAAGACCTCCCTCTCCATGTCCAGGTAGAGCTTGGCCAGGGTCAGTATGGCCTCCATTTCACCCAGCTCTGCCGCATGTTCCTCGTGAAATATGGCCGATTCCCAGTCTATATCCTTCTCATTTCTCTCCTCCCCGACCACAAACCTCCCCACTTCATGGTATTTAGCCATTTCATGATGAATCTGTGTATTAAGTTACATGATATAATAATAATGATATTGATGACACATTCAACTACTTGCAACTCTTCAACAGCTATGAGTTGATGTCATAAATACAACTTTTTTGCAATACAACATCAGATGTCTGAAACATAGTAACATCATATCACAGACCAAGATTTTATGGTGCCTATGCTCTTGGTTCAAGTTGAAACACATCCTCTTTAATGGGCAACAAGATTCTGCCAAAGGACTTTCAGTTATGTGCGAGACACTCAATTAGAGTTGAGATCACAACAAGTTGTTGGATGATGGGCAACATTGTTATGTGTGAGTGAGATCCATGTACTTAAGCACAAACACAACACATGATACAAATTGGACAGTAAAGTTAGTGTTTACCTTTCCTAGGGTTGAATCTCCAACCTTTATATTCATCAATTTCCTGAAGTCTATCTCCATAGCAACACAAGATGGCCGAGCTCTTTGCTGTGCCATTCTCTGGAACGCCTCATGCTCCTCCTAATGAATGAAAAATTGGGATCGTAAACATGTTATAGAATCATTACTTCATCTACTACAGGTTTTTGGGTACAGAAAAACCCAGAGAAATGCATATATTTATTTTGAGAAGTTATTGTGTTGAATTTTTCCACAGTTTCTACAGAATTGTTTCACCATTTTCTTTGTGATTCACTTTTAAGTCCCTACCAAACATCTGGGCCAATCCAAATTGAAATTGTTGGTGTTTTCTGAAATTTCTATATGAATGTATGAAGAAATGTAATAAATACAAAAGGTTTTGTGACAGTAATATACACAATTTGTACAAATAGCGTTCTTTCCTAAATCCTGGCTCTGAGTGTTACAGCTAATATCTGGTCTTTAACAGCTGTAGTCTTCAACCAATATCTGGTCTTTAACAGCTTTAGTCTACAACCAATATCTGGTCTTTAACAGCTTTAGTCTACAACCAATATCTGGTCTTTAACAGCTTTAGTCTACAACCAATATCTGGTCTTTAACAGCTTTAGTCTACAACCAATATCTGGTCTTTAACAGCTGTTTTATCTCTGTAGTCTACCACCTATAACTAACGTCTCAATAAGAGGGCCATATTGAATATTGGAGATTGGAATTGAAATTCAGAAACTGTTAACATCACCTAATTATCTATTTTGTTAGTTACAACAATGTTATAGGTGAAAACACTCAGCATATTTAAAATCAAAACTTATACTCCAAACGTGAAAATGCCAAATTTCAAACCCTGATCAACAAAAAAGTTATCCAGACATGATAAGGAAAACAAGTGAAGAGTAGTATTCTGAAAAGTTTTCCATGCATAAGAAAGTTGCAATTCATAGTGTCAACAATCACTCTTTTTGTCAAACATTTCAAATATTAATAAAAACTTGAGCATGTCAAATGTATTTTCCATGTGTAAACAGAAATTTCAACTAAAACAATGTTAAGTGTAATTCAAAACTGAAGTGACATTCATAACATGCAGTGACTAGGTCTTCACTCAGTTCAGTTTTTTTTCCCACCTGAGATACTCCGAGGCCATCAATCTGAAGATAAACAGGATTTCCTAAATCATTCTAGTGTGTATATGATGTAGATATTGAAGTTTAGAGTACAGGTCCCCTTACTAGCCTCAGCTAGTGAGAGTTTGCCTTTAGTCCAGTGGTAAAGTGTCCGGCTAGAGACCAGAGGATTGATAGTTAAAACCCCAGCTGTGGCAGGGTGTTTTTCACTTATTCTTCCTATTACATATACATTATCATCAGCTGTGTATAAATTTATATTACCAGGATATACCAAAAAACAGCTCAGAGCAGCTGAATGAAAAATAATTAACAAAAACTTGGACCAAATAAGTGCCCAGGGTGGTAATGAATGGGTAAGTTTTCTTTGATTTGCAGACTTATCATACAACAACATGTGAAGAATACCACAGGATCGATGTTCAATGTAAACATCAGATGTGAAATATAGCCATTATCCTTAAAGATAGCTGGAATTGTATATAGGAATTTCATATCTATTAATCCTGCTATTTTTAATATATTATGATAGCTATATTTCACATACAAAACGATTGACTCCTGTAAACAAAGTTATGTTACGCTAGCTCAATGTCTGCTACCTACCATTGATTTTGATCTTTCTCTTCTGTTTGAGGCTGAAGGATAATCTAGTTATAAATAATAAGGACTGAAGAATTTTAACTTATTTAGAATATAAAATAAGGAAGTGTACCTCTGCAGTCATTGAGGATTGGCTGTCTGATTTGTCCGACCTTTCGGATTCACTGATGAACCTCATGCGGCCATGCCTCACCATTGGTGATGGACTGTCAACAAACATGCCTTCATCTGTATCCTCATCGATAGCAGAGTCACTCTGCACTGACGAGTTGGATCGCTGGCGCTCTAAAAACCGTGTAATGTCAACCTTGGAATTGGGAGATGAGAGAGAAATGCAGCGTTCCTCATCCCCTCTTAACCTCGTCTTCATCATCGACTTTCTCTGCAAGAAAATGGTAATATGATGTAAAGGGTTTTTAAAAAATTTCTAAGACTTCCAAAAAAATACTGACACAGGAATGAATGACACAAAATATACAATACAACAAAACAATATGTACAATCTTACACCTATATGACAGAACAATAATTACCTGGTATGTAAGATTTAAAACCAGTGTCAGCAAATACAGTAATGAAACCAATGTACATTTGTCATCAATTATATTAGGACCACTATGTTAAGATTTTCACCATGATTTCAACTTTGACCAAAATATTTCATAAAAAAAATGAAACCATGAATAGAACAGGATTAAATTTACCTGATGGCGAAGGATGTCTTTGTGAGCATTGAGCTCCAGAGGAGAGAGATCAAATTCTGTAAGATCAAGACACCGACAGATTTCATTACAGATGTGAGAGTGAAAGAAGAGAGCCATGCCTTTAGCTCCAAGATTACCGTCTCCATATTCATTACCCTCTAACGTATGTATCTGAGGATCAGTGTAGAGGTCACCAACTCCCTGAATGTCCACCACAATCAGCTTGTGGCCAGACCGTTCAAAAGTGAAGTGGCTGAGAGCCTGTTAACACAAAATCAAAAATATTACATTAGAATTGTAAATCACAAGCTGTCATCATACCTCAAATATTACAATAGAACTGTACGTGAAATGCTATCTCCTTATCTCAGATATTACAATAGAACTGTACGTGAAATGCTATCTCCCTATCTCAGATATTACAATAGAACTGTAAGTGAAATGCTATCTCCCTATCTCAGATATTACACTAGAACTGTAAGTGAAATGCTATCTCCCTATCTCAGATATTACAATAGAACTGTAAGTGAAATGCTATCTCCCTATCTCAGATATTACACTAGAACTGTACGTGAAATGCTATCTCCCTATCTCAGATATTACAATAGAACTGTACGTGAAATGCTATCTCCCTATCTCAGATATTACAATAGAACTGTAAGTGAAATGCTATCTCCCTATCTCAGATATTACACTAGAACTGTACGTGAAATGCTATCTCCCTATCTCAGATATTACACTAGAACTGTACGTGAAATGCTATCTCCCTATCTCAGATATTACAATAGAACTGTAAGTGAAATGCTATCTCCCTATCTCAGATATTACAATAGAACTGTAAGTGAAATGCTATCTCCCTATCTCAGATATTACACTAGAACTGTACGTGAAATGCTATCTCCCTATCTCAGATATTACACTAGAACTGTACGTGAAATGCTATCTCCCTATCTCAGATATTACAATAGAACTGTAAGTGAAATGCTATCTCCCTATCTCAGCTTTATTACAATAGAACTGTACGTGAAATGCTATCTCCCTATCTCAGCTTTATTACAATAGAACTGTACGTGAAATGCTATCTCCCTATCTCAGATATTACAATAGAACTGTAAGTGAAATGCTATCTCCCTATCTCAGATATTACAATAGAACTGTACGTGAAATGCTATCTCCCTATCTCAGATATTACAATAGAACTGTAAGTGAAATGCTATCTCCCTATCTCAGATATTACACTAGAACTGTAAGTGAAATGCTATCTCCCTATCTCAGATATTACAATAGAACTGTACGTGAAATGCTATCTCCCTATCTCAGATATTACAATAGAACTGTACGTGAAATGCTATCTCCCTATCTCAGATATTACAATAGAACTGTACGTGAAATGCTATCTCCCTATCTCAGATATTACACTAGAACTGTAAGTGAAATGCTATCTCCCTATCTCAGATATTACAATAGAACTGTATGTGAAATGCTATCTCCCTATCTCAGATATTACAATAGAACTGTACGTGAAATGCTATCTCCATATCTCAGATATTACAATAGAACTGTAAGTGAAATGCTATCTCCCTATCTCAGATATTACAATAGAACTGTACGTGAAATGTTATCTCCATATCTCAGATATTACACTAGAACTGTACGTGAAATGCTATCTTTTTTCCTCAGGCAACAAGCTAGTCACAGCAGCTCCTCACTAACCTGTTACGTTTTACCTGTAATTAGTCTTCACCTACCCGTAATTAGTCTTCACCTACCCATAATTAGTCTTCACCTACCCGTAATTAGTCTTCACCTACCCGTCATTAGTCTTCACCTACCTGTAATTAGTCTTCACCTACCTGTAATTAATCTTCACCTACCTGTAATTAACCTTCACCTACATGTTATTAGTCATCACCTACATGTTATTCATCTTCACCTACCTGTAATTAGTCTTCACCTACCCGTAATTCCTCTTCATCTACCTGTAATTAGTCCTCACCTACCTGTAATTAGTCTTCACCTACCAGTAATTTGTCTTCACCTACCCGTAATCTTCACCTACCCATAATTCATCTTCACCTACCCGTAATTCATCTTCACCTACCTGTAATTAGTCTTCACCTACCTGTAATTAGTCCTCACCTACCTGTAATTAACCTTGACCTACCTGTGGAGTGTAACGTAGTGAATCCTCAACAAATCCAGAGTTGGAGTTATACTTGACATAATGACCTTCTATGAAATGCTCAAGGTGATACAGGGGACAACCTGGTCTGTCTTTAAACTCCAAGATATACATTTGGAATATGTCAACCTTTAGAAAATAACACAGATACAGAAGTCAGTAAACACTTATTTCTATTACATAATATGTACAATATGAAAACAAATGATAGAAATGTTATCTGTCTTAATTATCTTTCATGTTTTATTTTTTAAGCAATAGTCAGTTATGTCGATGAAAAAAACAGCAATGGCATGTTTCTATTTACATGTATAAATATCTACACTGATTGGCTGTGCGTCCTCATATCCAAGACAACAGAGAAAATGTAACTCATAACAAACTACACACATCACTTTTACATGCTAATCAATGTTCATTACACAGAGTTATTTCCTCTTGATTTATGAAATGTCTACATGCTTAAGTGCAATCCACTGATGCTAAAACAGTTTAAGAGATTGTATATGATAGTGGTATATATATCATACACTGAAATAGGTACAATATGTCAAATTGATTCTATGAATGGCACACTTTTTTCATTTTAAAGATTTGCTTTTATAGATTGAATATAAATGTACAAAAAAATGATTATGTTGATTTGTTGTTTGATAACAAAACATTAAAAGTATGATACCTTTTTTGGAGGCTTGTGTCTATTGTACTCCTCTGCCCAGAGTTTTGCATCCATCTGAAGTTTGACATCCTGGAAATACACCTCTCTGTCGACTGCCTGTATGTAGTTTTTGGCCACGTAATTACCAGCATGGCTCCAGTCCTGATGCTTCAGGAACTGAGACAGCTTTTTCCTGAAATACATAAGGCATTATTTTTTTTATAGACGTGCAATATTCTTGATTAGCATTAGATGATCTTTCATATATAAGATACACATAATCAGTGTGCATGGATCTTTAATTTATATATAATTTACATATTCAGTGTACATGGATCTTTAATTTATATATAATTTACATATTCAGTGTACATGGATCTTTAATTTATACATAATTTACATATTCAGTGTACATGGATCTTTAATTTATATGAGATATACATTATCAGTGTGCAGGAATCTTTATTTTATGAGACATACATAATCATCATAACTCTATCTATACAAGGTCTTTCCCCATATGTCATCATCCTATGTGACAAGGTGCACAAAGTTAGGATTCAAAAAATATTCTTATTAATAATGAAGTAAATATGTATAACATTCTGTTTTTAATATTGTTTAGATCTATACCCTCCCTGTTTGAAAACATATCTAATTTACTTTGTAAAGTCTATAGATGTTTGTACACACATCTGTATACGTCCTAATCCTATTAGGTACCCAGACCTGTAATAATCAGATTATAGATAATAAACTAAGCACATTACTTTTGCCTTTTGTACAAGTACCTTATTTAACATAATATAAAGGACCCTGGACAAAGATAAACTATAAGACGTCTTGTCAGGCCTTTATTTGCCTTCTCTCCTCTTTCTTCTCAAGAAGTTTCAACAAGTTAAAGCAATCGATTCAAAATTTCTTAAAAAGTTGCAACAAACCAAAACAAGCCATATGACAGCATGAAACATTTCATGGTATAATGTTAAAACACACTTATTTACATAGGGTAAGAAGATGTGTGTTGTTGGGGGTTTTTTATAGGGAAAAGTCAGGTCAACTTGTTAGAGTCTTCCCTATCTAAAAATGTTTCAATTTTGTTCTGAATTCTTTTCCACAATGCCATCTGTGTCATGTCAATTGTCTTGTTAAGGGAACAGATCAGACAACATGGAGAAATCACATATATATAATCACAGAGTGTTTCTTTTTGTACTGTATAACTTTATGTCAAATACTGGTACAGCATACCATGTAAAACAGAATTACACAAAATGCCAAGATGGAAACAAGACATTTCTAAGTTTCTCTTTCAATATAATAATTACCATGGTACAATAAATCATTATAATGATATACATAATGTTGAAGTAAATTTTGATGAACAATGGGTGGATGAGGAAATAATACGTATGACATATGACCTTGATGCAACCTAATGTCACAAGTCATTGATTTATATTTCTGTGTTTTGATAAGTAAATCAAATGCAGAGGCCTATAATTTTATAAGATCCTGCAATATATATATCATATATACATGATACAGAAACATGGGAAGTTTTACTAAACAAATAGCACAAGTGTCTACCTTAATCAGAAGGAATGAAAACAAAAGCGTTTTACCTGTACAGGTATATATATAGGCAACAGTTTGATGTTATCTACAAACCCTATGTCATAACAGACAACTCTACATGTGCCTCAGGTGTGATAGCTAATGAATAAGTTATAACAGTGTATGATTTGTGTATATGTCATCTTTTGATTGCTATGACGCAAATAAGAACATCTTATGACCTACTTACTACATAACAAAGTTAAATCACATTTGATATTAAAATATGAAATAAAATTGACTTTGAAAAACTACAGGTATAATAAAACTTTTAGATTTTTGTAAAGAGTAAGCCAGTTAAACATGTTTGCTTCCAGTATAAAGGTACAACACTGAATCTGTGTACCCTTCACCTAGTAGTTTATTCCTAGGAATGAAGAATTAACACAGTGTGGGTTTCTACTAGAACATCTCGTTAACAATGTAAACATTTTAGGTAAAAATGAACTAGTACTGGCACCAGTCACGATCAGTTTAAGATGAGCAGTACGAGACCTAGATTTATATCATAATAATATATTGGAGACTTCTTACTTAAATGGATAGCCAGATACAGGAATGGCTAATTGAGTATCAAGATCAATCCTTATTTATCCCAGTGAGATTTCTCACATTACCAGTCTAAACACAAAAACACCAAGTCATGACCTTGGTTCCAAGATTTCCCTCATGAGTAGTCCTAAACACAATCTCAGCTCCACCTTACCAGCCATGTAGTATTTTCCGGTTCCTTGTTTTTGGCTATGACTTAGAACAACAACAAACCAAATCTTATTGTTAACACCACATACACAAAACATACAACTGGCACAAAATCTCAGAGTATTCTATTACATTCATTAGAACACACTATAAAAACATTTCTACAATCAAAAATGTGTAGAATACTTATAAACACATAGCTGTTTTATCCCTATAAGGGTGACACCTGATCAGGTGATTTAAATGACAGCGCTGTCAGTTCTGATCAACTTTAGTACTTGATTTGTGACCAAAATAATCAAAAGACAAGTATAACAATGACCTTGACCTCTCTACCTGTACTACTACTTTTCTCTCAGACACAAACTACTCACTCTTACACATCAACAATAACACTTTCTCAAATGTTGTCAGACCTACTAATCTACACATCCAAAAAGCATTGTTATGCTCCCTTCCTGAACGTACACACATGATGTACACAAATTTCCCCTACCCAAAACATATGCCAGATACACATATTTTACTCCACAGAGGCCTGTATCAATGTTTCTTAGGAATGAGGGCTAGCTGTAGTACCATACAAGCTTGCACACCCACCCCACCTCCCCCTTCCAAAACCTTGTGACAGACTCCTGAGGTTTACCCAATCCCCTTTCCCACCCCTCCCAGCCATCCATCCTCCTTCCAAACACAAATGCATACGGTGTATACATTAATATCATTTCTTCTCACTATACATTAATATTATCCCTCTCCTAATACTTGAATATATGTACAACAACACTACACTTCCTCCCAAGTCCTATCCAAATTACATGTATGTATAAAGTATTTTAATATATTATAACGTGCATCCCCAAGACCTCTTAAAAGAATTGAGTTGTTAACATACAAACTTATATATCATTTAGTGGTATAAGTATATAACCACGACACACATTTTCTGAATATATGTGGGAACTATTTAGCATGAACTTCCTATTCAGTAAAACTACAAACCTAAAATATTTATAAAATCTAAACACAAGTATTTTTTTTCAAATTATACATGTGGCTTTTGATACAGTGCATATTTCAAAATGATCTTTATTTTATCAAATCTTTTTTTGTAGCTAGCATAATCCCCTTCCATCCTCTATATATAGCTAGCTAAACATTACCCTTTTCTGAGAGCTCTAAACTAAACATGACCTATCTGTTAGACCCATAGCTAAATAGGATCATTCTCTGCATCCCTTGGCTTAACATTATCCCTCTCATTGTCCATTATCTAAACATTATCCATCTCTCAGACCCCTAGGTAATCAATATCCTTCCTTAGACCCCTAGCTAATCAATATTCTTCCTAGGATCCCTAGTTAGTCAATATTCTTCCTTAGACCCCTAGGTAATCAATATTCTTCCTCAGACCCCTAGCTAATCAACATCCTTCCTAGGATCCCTAGTTAGTCAATATTCTTCCTTAGACCCCTAGTTAATCAATATTCTTCCTTAGACCCCTAGCTAATCAATATTCTTCCTTAGACCCCTAGCTAATCAATATTCTTCCTCAGACCCCTAAGTAATCAATGTATTTCCTTAGACCCCTAGCTAATCAATATTCTTCCTTAGACCCCTAGGTAATCAATATTCTTTCTTAGACCCCTAGGTAATCAATATTCTTTCTTAGACCCCTAGCTAATCAATATTCTTCCTTAGACCCCTAGGTAATCAATATTCTTTCTTAGACCCCTAGCTAATCAATATTCTTCCTTAGACCCCTAGGTAATCAATATTCTTTCTTAGACCCCTAGCTAATCAATATTCTTCCTCAGACCCCTAAGTAATCAATGTATTTCCTTAGACCCCTAGCTAATCAATATTCTTCCTTAGACCCCTAGGTAATCAATATTCTTCCTTAGACCCCTAGTTAATCAATATATTTCCTCAGACCCCTAGCTAATCAATATTCTTCCTTAGACCCCTAGGTAATCAATATTCTTCCTGAGACCTTAAAAACAGATATATCAGAATAGCGCTATGTGTATTGATACTACACTGAAAAAACAGATATATCAGAATAGCTTTATGTGTATTGATACTACACTGAAAAAACAGATATATCAGTATAGCTCTGTCTGTGTGTATTGATTCTACACTGAAAAAACAGATATATCAGAATAGCTTTATGTGTATTGATACTACACTGAAAAAACATATATATCAGAATAGCTCTGTCGATATTGATTCTACACTGAAAAAACAGATATATCAGAATGGCTCTGTCGATATTGATTCTACACTGAAAAAACAGATATATCAGAATAGCGCTATGTGTATTGATACTACACTGAAAAAACATATATATCAGAATAGCTCTGTCGATATTGATTCTACACTGAAAAAACAGATATATCAGAATGGCTCTGTCGATATCGATTCTACACTGAAAAAACAGATATATCAGAATGGCTCTGTCTATATTGATTCTACACTGAAAAAACAGATATATCAGAATAGCTCTGTCGATATCGATTCTACACTGAAAAAACAGATATATCAGAATGGCTCTGTCTATATTGATTCTACACTGAAAAAACAGATATATCAGAATAGCTCTGTCGATATTGATACTACACTGAAAAAACAGATATATCAGAATGGCTCTGTCTGTGTGTATTGATACTACACTGAAAAAACAGATATATCAGAATGGCTCTGTCTGTGTGTATTGATACTACACTGAAAAAACAGATATATCAGAATGGCTCTGTCTGTGTGTATTGATACTACACTGAAAAAACATATATATCAGAATGGCTCTGTCTGTGTGTATTGATACTACACTGAAAAAACATATATATCAGAATGGCTCTGTCTGTGTGTATTGAT